AGTGACACCTCAAAAGCCATTTCTAGAAGCGGGTGTAGATTACGCCGGGCCGATCAATATTAGGTTCTCGAAGGGTCGTGGTCAATAAGGGCTACATTAGTCTGTTTATTTGTATGGCCACAAAAGCCGTCCATATAGAAGCGGTGTCGGACTTAACGTCTGAAGGATTTCTTTCGGCTTTTAAACGGTTCGTGGCCAGACGGGGACGCTGCGCTCGACTTTGGAGTGACAATGGTTCCAATTTTGTAGGAGCATCTAAAGAACTAAAGACTTTATTTGCCAGTGAGCGTTCTGCCTTTCCAGTACAGGTTGCAGAAGCTTTAGCTAATAATGGAACCGAGTGGCATTTTATTCCGCCTTACGCGCCAAATTTTGGCGGACTTTGGGAAGCAGGAATAAAAAGCACAAAGCACCATTTACGTACAGTAATTGGAGAGACAACACTCACGTATGAAGAGCTGGCTACAGTGTTGATGCAAATTGAGGCGTGTCTCAATTCGCGCCCTTTAACTCAAACAAGTGAGGATCCTGACGACCCGGTCCCACTGACACCAGGTCATTTCTTAATAGGAGAACCGTTAGTGATAGCCCCCGATTATGATTTTATCGACAGTCAACCGCATGCTTTGAGGCGTTGGCAAAATACTCAAAGAATACCATTCTTTGAGTCAATCGTTTTGGAAGCGATGGTCGCAAGAGGACTTAACAACTCTTTTTCAAAGGTTTAAATGGCGACGCAAAATAACCGAGCCGCGGTTAGGCGATTTCGTTCTAGTAATGGAGGATAACCTACCTCCTGCAAGGTGGCTTTACGGTCGCGTTACTCAGTTGCATCCTGGAAAGGATAATGTCACCAGAGTAGTCACTTTGCGTTACAAGAATTCCCTTGTTCAACGAGCTGCATCCAAACTTTGTCCTTTACCCATAAATAGTGATACTTAAGTTATTTGTTATGTTAGATATATTTACAACTGATATTATTGTTTAGTTGATATAAGTTTATCGAATTGTTTTTAATTTTTATATACAGTCCATGTTTAATTTCGAAGGTGGTACAAAGTTTTTCATGTACTTGATTTTCTAGTTCTTTAATTTTTGTTCGTTTCTTAAAGGACTGTTCGTCCTTTGGTGGGCGGTATGTCCAATGTGTTACCTTATATAAAATGTTTACTCCATTGTCCCATAGATGGAGCTGTATTAATTTGTACTCACGGTATGGTTTAGTTAGGATGAAATATATAAGGTTTAAATAATTTCGAAATAAATTGTCTATACGTTCCGGGATCTAGTTTTATTTATTGAACTACTGCATTCCTGGCTTGGGGACCTTAGTACACTTAGTAAATTCGGAACCACAATTCGATAACCCCATATTATACATCCTTGAACAACATGTAGACTATCTTTTTTGTTCAAGTATTTTTTTTCAATGTGAGTGTAATAGGCTAGTTTACTCATGTCGAATTGTATTAAATAAATGTTTATTTCTTAAAGTATTTGGTCTAAGGAACCTAAATATATCGATTTCACTTCATAAAAGCAGAAGATTGCTGTAGAAATTTAATTAAAAAAATGGTTGCCTGTAAAGTCGGTTTTACGGGCGAAGATTTTACGTGACAACGTCTTTTTCTCGGTAGAATATTTATTGATATGAATATAATTAAATTGCACAATAGGAACAAGGAATTGAATGAAAATAAGAATTGCACAAATTTTAACTATAGAAATATATTTTGTTTACTAAAACATTGTACATGTAAACTTAAACTCATCGTAACGTTACCGAGCGTTACACTTTTTCATAAGTGACTCCCAGCCGCAACCTAATTTAAGACGTTGTCACGTCAAAAAATATTTTTTAGTCTATATTTTTTAAACACTAAAAACGCTGTTCGCCACATCCGCCATGATTTTGACGTCTCTTGTGGTAAACAACTAAATGTCATTCGCGTGTTACTGTAGGTGGATTCTTTCGTCTGACTAAATTTATCTTAAAACACTTTTAACTTTAGGAAAGAAATAAACAGTAAACTTAGTTTTTTTTGACAAAACTAATTAAGGTTGCCGGCTTTGTAAAAGCAGAAAGCACAAATCTGCCAAGAATTGACGCATTGATGGTTGGTGAATTTGTTGCACTAACCCCCATTTCTGCTCTGCGGAGCAGAGAAACGACAAGGCATCTATGTAAGTACAGTGCATTTAGTATTACAATGTAGTAATAAACATAAAACTGTTACAACATATGAATAAGTGTAATAAAGTTGCGTAGGTTAATTTCTTTCGGCACTTTAATCCACAATTTCCTGGAGTCTTCAAGGATGTGTTTTTATATTCTCGTACAATACAGTAATGATAATTACTTTATTTTTCGTGGTATTTATTAGAAATCATGTTTTTTTTTATTATAAACTCAGTTTTAAGTAATTTTCTACGTGTTTACGAGTTTTTGTTTACCACAGTTCACGTCATAGCATAGATAATCTATAGACTAAAATGGCCGACAGCGTTTTTGTATGTCCATGAAAAGTCTATTTTAAAATTAAAGATTTGTAGCTTTCTAGGTTTAAAAAAAATACAATACATTTTTTTTCGGTCTAGTAGAACATTTATTAACCATTTAAAACCTTTTTCCAAAAAGGGTCAACTAGCCTATTATGATTAGCGGGCCACCCTGACATAATAAACCCATAGATCTTACTCAACACTGGGTCCCTTCCAGTTTCAGTTTTGATATCATTAAAACTAATCGGAAAGCTACCCTGCGCGTAATATAAATAACTACCTTCTTCGTCTTCACCTCGTAGTTGTTTAATTGTCGCTTCTAGGAGAAGACAGGAAAACAATTTTTTGCTGATTTTACAAACTCCACTGCGAAATCATAAGCCGCCAATTTGACTGCATATCGCTGGAGTCTACTTGCGGCTGTCACCGGTAGTCCTTTATTTTTGCCAAAAATATAACTCAAAGGACGGTGATCACTCCGTAGAATAAAATATCTTCCGTAAAGATACTAATGGTGCTTAGATACACCGAACACAATGGGGAGTACCTCTTTATCTATTTGGGAATAGTTGGCCTCGGCCCGGTTGAGCGTGCGCGAGGCGCAGCACACGGGCACGGGCAGCTCGGCGCCGTCCGCGCGGCGCTGGGTGAGCACCGGCCCCAAGCCGTATGCACTGCTGTCCACCGACAATATCAGTTCCAAACTCGGATCGTAATGCGCCAGAACGGGAGAACTACTTAGAACCTTTTTAATTTTATTAAAAGACGCATCACACTCCGCCGTCCAATTCCATACTACATTTTTCTTTAATAACTCGTACATTGGTTTTAGTATATCGCTCGTATTGAAACAAAACTTGGAATAAAAGGTAACTAAATCCATAAAACTTTTCAACTGCCGGTGCAGTGCCGGTGCAGTTATGCAGATGTCATCAGCGAATACAGCCGTTGACGGCCGGCCACTAAGCGTCTCTTCCATAATTTTTTGAAAATTTTCGGGGATGCATTTTATACCAAACGGGACGCGTTTATAAACAAAAGTACCAACGTGTGTGGTGATAGCAGTCATCGGCTGTGAAGCTTCATCTAATAAGCATTGTTAAAATGCGTTAGAAAGATCTAATTTGGTATATTCTTCACCCCCTCCTAACGCGGCAAAAAGGTCCTCGATACGGGGCAACGGGTAATGGTAGTCTTTTAAAAGTGGATTAATGGTGATTTTGTAATCACCACATAATCTTATTTTACCATTTGCTTTAATAACCGGCACGATCGGTGTTCCATGGTCTGATCTTTCTACCTTATGTATGACACTATCTCGCTCGAGCTCCCTCTCGACCGAATGTCGCAAAGCTAAAGGTATTGGCCGCGCTTTTACAAATATTGGTGAATCATCTTTAAGATACAGTTTAAATTTTGACTTGAACGTACCTAACCCTTCGGCAAATACCTCCGGAAACTCCTTTCGCAAAGAAGTCGCCATCGAGTTATCTTCAGTTAAAGTGTAACATTCTACTATGCCCAACTTCAAATGCTTTATCCACATTCGGCCCATCAGCGGCGGCCCTCCGTTTTCTATGACAAATAAATTTAATTTTGCATTTTTGTTACCGCATTGAACGTTTACCACGATAAAACCAAGAGTCTCGATGACGTCTCCCGTATACGATTTTAAAGTAATTTGTTTTTGTTCGATAGGTATGTCGGAGAAATTTCTACCATAATATTTTTTAGAAATAACAGAAAGTTTGCTTCCGGTATCAATCTCAAATTTACACAAAATATTTTCAATCTTTAATCTCGCAAAATAAGGCCCATCACCATCATTACTAACTACTAAATTATAAAAATTACAAACCTTCATCTTCCGAGTCTGATCCATTCAGAAAGAATTGTTTTTTTTGTTGAGCTGTTGCCTCTACTTTTATTATCACTTCTATTTTTAACACACACCGATTTTAGGTGGCCCCTTTGACCTCATTCATCACAATTGTAGTATCTAAAACGACACTTTCCTTCCGAATGCCCTACTTTACCACATCGAGAGCATGCGCGCTGCGTCCGGGGCGCGCCTCCAGCGCCTGTGCGAGCTCCACTGCGCGTTTGTAGTCCACGTTTTTTTCCGCACAGATCCTAGATCTGACCAACGTAAACTGATTTATTATGCATCCACCGCCGGGATGCGACATTAGATACACAACAAACATAATGTTATTTCGCACACAAGGTACCTAGTCCATACAAAAACTATCGAACTGCCTGGATTCCAAGACGGTGCGCGCTACTATCACTGTTTATATCCAAAACGACAATATAAAACACATTTGCGTACTGTACGTACACGAATATCAACAAGTAGCGTTGCGTAAACAGGAGCATCAACGACAGTGGCACGGGGCACATTTGTGTCGCGATAAACATCGCTTTAGGACGGATTCCTTGGCTTGACTTGTGGTCGCGAGATTGTGACCCCATAATTACACAGAGTGGTTTTTCAGCCGTCTGGTGGGCGTGTTCTGCGCGCGGTACTTGGGTGCGGGCGCGGCGGGCGTGCGCCGCGCGTGCCTGTCGCTGGTGCGCAAGATGGTGCATTACGCGCCCGCGCGCCTGCTACGCCGCATCTCCGCACGCCGCGAGCCACGCACCGCCGCGCTGCTCACACAACTGGTAGCCGCCGTGCTCGACAACGCGGTCAGTGCTCACACACACATATACAGCGCGCGCCTATCGCTGGTGCGCAAGATGGTGCATTACGCGCCCGCGCGCCTTCTACGCCGCATCTCCGCGCGCCGCGAGCCACGCACCGCCGCGCTGCTCACACAGCTGGTAGCCGCCGTGCTCGACAACGCGGTCAGTGCTCACACACACATACAGCGCGCGCCTGTCGCTAGTGCGCAAGATGGTGCATTACGCGCCCGCGCGCCTGCCACGCCGCATCTCCGCGTGCCGCGAGCCAAGCGCTGCCGCGCTGCTCACACAGCTGGTAGCCGCCGTGCTCGACAACGCGGTCGGTGCTTACACACACATATACAGCTCGCGCCTGTCGCTGGTGCATTATGCACGCACCGCCGCGCTGCTCACACAACTGGTAGCCGCCATGCTCGACAACGCGGTCAGTGCTCACACACACATATACAGTGCGCGCTTGTCGCTGGTGCATTACGCGCCCGCGCGCCTGCTACGCCGCATCTCCGCGCGCCGCGAGGCACGCACCACCGCGCTGCTCATACAGCTGGTAGCCGCCGTGCTCGACAACGCGGTCAGTGCTCACACACATATACAGCGCGCGCCTGTCGCTGGTGCGCAAGATGGTGCATTACGCGCCCGCGCGCCTGCCACGCCGCATCTCCGCGCGCCGCGAGCCACGCACCGCCGCGCTGCTCACACAGCTGGTAGCCGCCGTGCTCGACAACGCGGTCAGTGCTCACACACACATATACAGCGCGCGCCTGTCTCTGGTGCGCAAGATGGTGCATTACGCGCCCGCGCGCCTGCTACGCCGCATCTCCGCGCGCCGCGAGCCATGCACCACCGCGCTGCTCACACAGCTGGTAGCCGCCGTGCTCGACAACGCGGTCAGTGCTCACACATACATATACAGCGCGCGCCTGTCTCTGGTGCGCAAGATGGTGCATTACGCGCCCGCGCGCCTGCTGCGCCGCATCTCCGCGCGCCTGTTGCGCCGCATCTCCGCGCGCCACGAGACACACACCGCCGCGCTGCTCACACAGCTGGTAGCCGCTGTGCTCGAAAACGCGGTCAGTGCTCATACACACATGTACAGCGCGCGCCTGTCGCTGGTGCGCAAGATGGTGCATTACGCGCCTTTTTTGTCGCGATGTACGATGGCGAAATGCAGCAGCTGGAATTAATCCGAACAATTCCTCAGAACACTCCCCGTGATAAATGCGATAGAAGATGCAGAGCGAAGCTACATCCCTACGCAAAGCCAAAGGATCAAGCTGATCGGAAAGGTCCTGGTCGTCGACGATTCGAGCCGCTCGGCACTGGATGCGATCCAAAGGGAGAAGCTGGTACTGGGGTGCCCCCGCCCAAAGATGAGAGCAGTACTCCATGTGAGGCCGAACCTGTGCCTTATAAAGCTGCAGTCGGTGGGCCGGTGTGAAGTACATTCTCGATCTATTGAACACACCAAGCTTCTTAGAGGCCAATTTGGCCTTGCCCTCTAAATGATCCCGAAACTGGACGTCGCTCGATATGTCAACGCCAAGAATTCCAATACTAGCTGAGGCAGTTAGAGGAGTGTTCTCAAAAAGAGGAGATACGACAAATGGTATTTTTTGCGGTGAACGCGAGTCGGTCAATTTCGGTATTTCCGCTATGGGACCTGTAGAGGCAGGCGTAGACGCGGGGATGGTCATTGACGTCTACACGCAACCTTCAAAGTTGCTGAGGCGACGGAAACTGATACCCTCTTTAACGTACACACATACCCCAGCCCGTGGTACAAAGGAATGTTCCAAAGTATACCCAGGGTACTGGAGGTAGGAGGTGTCGGCTGGAGAGGATATCTGCGTGTCAGTCAAAAAAAGCAAGGCCGGCTGCACTGTCTGAAGGTGGTAGTGAACAGCATTAAGGTTGGAGTGCCCCTGATGTTGCAGAAATCCACGTTAAACATGGCAGGGGGTGTCGTATGACGCTTGCTCTGGCCTCGAGCAGTTTCGGTAATGAGCGCGGTTTCGCCCTCCCCAGAATACGAAGGGCAGCCTCGACGTCCACGTCCAGAAGGAGACAGTTTTGGGCATGGACGTCCAGAGGGGGATTCTCCAGCGTAAAAACAGCTGGTACCCCCCTGGGGTATTATCCTATTTAACTGCGCCATCATGAGGAAGGGGGGGGGGGGTAGCCTCACTCACTCGGCGAAACACAGTGCAAAGTACTGCTTCACGCTAGTATTCTGTGAGGTCGTGGTATTCCTCCGGTCGAGCGGGCCCATTCATGCAGTAGCCTAAGCTACTGCGTGGCTCTCCCACGATCAAAGTATGACAAGTATGACAAACTTCAACTTTTACTCTTATCTTTAAGTCTTAAAAGGTGTTACAAAAAAGCGGAGAGTTCTATTGCTAGAAATACAATTCCTTCACAGGAACTAAAATCGAAACCTCAAAAAAAACACAATTATTACAAAAGCTAAAAAAAACACCTGCAAGCCTATGTGTGTAAGCTCCTTTATTTGGTAGTGTAAAGTTAGTAGCGCAAATTCTACGCCCCTGGTATCGCAAAGTTGCATAGTCATTTTTGGGCAACTGTTGCTCAAACAAAACCCATTATAACTTGATAAATAAGCTATTTTTTAATGTAAATTAAGCCTTGAAAGATGTCAAACATTTTATTAAATCGTGCGCAATAATAAGTATAGATATAAATCAAAAAAAAATACCGTGATATATCAAAAAACAGTCTCCGCAAAAAATATGACTGACCTTCTTTCAAACGATGTTGATGTTGGACTGAAAAAAATATGACCGCTGACAGCGTATTGACCATAGACAAAGTATGTTCGGTGTTGCCACTACTCAGACTTGAATACTGCTATTTCTTAAACACAACCAAATGGGCATTTATTAGTTGCGCAATAAAAAGTAGCGCAAAGGAATGGATTTTAACGTTTTTCGAAAATGAGTAAAAATTTATGAAATTTCTTAGGTAATAGGAAACGATATTTAAAATGTGGCTAGCTAACTATTATTGTATAGCGTAAAAGCAAACACTATCAAAAAGATTTTTATTTTTGATTTTACTGATGCTCAAAGTGCACCTCTACCGGGACGGATAAGCGTATTTTACGAAAAAATCATCGCTTTTTGTAGCAAAATATTTTATAGATTTCTAAGGTTTTGAAGATATTTAAATATATTTATTGATCGCGATTCACCATTTGTGAGGAAATATGATTCTGTTATTGAAAAAAATGTAATTACCGTACTTTTTTTTTAAATGTGGCGGAGAGTTATGTTATAACTAATGTGGCAAAATTTACGGCCTGACCCATACAGCTCGCGCCTGTCGCTGGAGCGCAAGATGGTGGCATACGCGCGCGCTCACCTGCTGCGTAGCAGGTCGTTACAGGTCGCCAAACCTAATAACCGGACAGACCAGCTAGTTGGGTAAAAATATAGGTGCCACAAAAAAATATGTACAAGCGACTGATAGTCAAGTCGCTTGCGCTCGGTGTTCGCTCGTTTGCGAATTGTAAAAGGACTAACCAAAGCCGAACAAGCCGGACGCCGTTTATTTTGGCCGGACACGCAATCAAAAAGCCTATGTCCGGCTTTATCCGGACGCCTGGCAGTCGCATTAGAGCCATTGGCTTAACGCACACTCTGAAGTACGGAGAGGCTTGAGATGATACATATTTGGTCACCCAACCACTGCGAAAGTGGTTTAACTTCCATGTTGCAAACCGAATGCACTAACCAAGTGGCGCCACCATCTGTTATACAGTACAGTACATTTATGACACTGAATAAATAAAAAACTCGAATAAATTCAATGGATTTTAATATGTGCATTAGGATAAGTCTCTGGGTGATTTAGACTTCAGGACAGGACCCTGTAAGTGGTCCTATTGTGAATCTAAAGTCCTGCAATAAATTATTTTTTAGACACTAGATTTACTTGCAGCAGTAGCCACTCTATCATATAGGATCAGTTCATTAAAAATACAACAGTAATTAATTCTACATAGCAATAGAATAAAAATAACAGATTTAGAATAATAACCAAACTGTATCTCATTGAAAAAAGATAGTTTCAGAATGTACGCTGACGACGATGTATTGACTGTCAAACAAACAAAACAATTCTTTTGAATTAAAAATCGATCGAAGTGTTTAGTTTCATAGTATGTGCTTTATTATGTTGTAGTGTGATTTTATTGGTGAAGACCTGTAATTGGCTTTCTGTTGTTATTTTAGGTTGTATTATTTTTATTAATAGCTGTTGGTCTTCCAAAAAATAAATAAATAAATAATCATTTTTTTCTTGTAAAAAGTCTAGAAGTAGTTCTAATATCAATCAATGATTCAATGAAATAGTAATCTCACTGCGAGTATGTGTAACCAGGGGGAGATGCCTTGGAAGCGGTCGCAACCGCGGTACCTACGCAGCCGCTATATCCGGCCACCTGTGGTAAAGTTCCGATGGTGTGATACAAAATTAGGAAGTCCTACATTCCGCAAAGACAGCTAATGATTTGAGTTTCAGTTTGAAAGTATGACTCTGTTTTCGCACTGTACAATTTTTATCTGAATTCTGGAAAGCCACATTAGAATAGGGTATTTTCCATTTTTTTAAAACTGCTTATATTTAAAGTTTGGTACAAATGATTTAACAGAAAATAAAAATAAATTAATGTCTTTTTTTCTCCATTAAACCAATTAAAGTTGAATTTATTTTTGAATTTACTGCCAAAACGCTCGGTTAGGTGGTGTCTACTGTGTGATGTCAACTTTGTGTATGCTATGTAATCATCTGAAGGTCAAATTATTAACTATTTTTACGTTCGGGATAAATATATAGTATATTACTTTTCACAAAATTTTTGATGTTTCGTAACTCTGTAGCACAAAAATCAGGATTAGTAGCGAAGAAATTTGCAAAGTATTATACTATAAATTTATCGCAAACGTAAATAAAGTTAGTAATTTGACCTTCAGATGATGACATAGCATACACGAAGTTGACGTCACACAGTAAACGTTATCGAACCGAGCGTTTTGGCGGAAAATTCAAAACCATTAAAAATAAATTCAACTTTAATTGGTTTAATGGAGAAAAAAGACATTAATTTATTTTCATTTTTCTGTTCAATCGGTTGTCCCAATCTTTAAATATAAGCAGTTGCAAACATTTGGAAAATACCCTATATTAAATATTGGCAGTCTAGTGGATTGTGGACCTTTAGTGTGATAAATGTACTATACCGCGCTAGTGCAAGTGCGGCTTCGGACACTACTATTACCATATTCCTTACACTACCTTTGTGTCTCTGATCATTTTATTTTTTGATACACAATAATAATGACAATATTTGTTGATTGTAATGTGTCTTAATTGTTTGCTTTGGTTAAACACATAAGCCTTATTTATAAGCAGCAATATTAGCACTAATACATTATACATAAAGCCCAAAAATACTTTAACATTTTTACCAATTTCATTGTATCATTCTCCTGTTAACGCATCAGCATTGTAAAGATATCACACCATCGAACTTAACTGCATCAATCTATCCTGTTTGTGTTTATGTGAATTAATATCCATATAAAATTACTCATTTCCATAGGATAATGTGTTTTGTGTGAACATTTTGTTTTGCTTTCCCTATATTGCATTTTATAAAATATTTTTTTACAACTCAATCTACAACAAAGCTACTTTCGACAGATTTCCTTAATGAGATCATGAATTTGAAATTAATCTTTCAAGATTCACTATTAGGCATAGTTAGCGTAACATCTTAGTGGGCACTGTGAAGGAATCATACGTGCGACATATTGGATGCTGAGAACGAGAGGAAGCGAGTTATTAAAGTTATGCTTAGCTGAAATACGCCCGATTTTTAGTTCCTGCTTGGGGAACAGATGTGTTTTTAAATAAAAGCACAGAAAACTTTTCTTTTATTAATTATTATTATGATCCTAAAGTAAATTTTATAAGGCGAAACTAGTTTTACTTCCATTAACATAAAGCAGAAATTAAAATCAGTCCCCCAGTAGCACGAGCGCCACAATATACATTATACCACTTTATTGTCAAACTCCAAGTGATATTACAATAATGAGCGTGATAAAGAGTTTTATATCATATCGCGGTGTTCATGCTAGGGGGCTGATATTCAGGAGCCCGCACTGGGGAAATAACCTCCACCTTACAGCTTTTGATGCACGTTACCTCTTGGTAGTGTTGTTTCTATCCGTGAGTAAGGTTCCTGGGCTCCACGGGGTAGGGAACCCCATGTTAGGGTAGGCAATGGCACGAGTGATAGTTTGGTATCAAAATCGTATATAGGCTATGGAGTATGATTAAAATCAGGCGGGCATTTAAAAAAAATGCCTACCTTTTAACAAGAACAATTGGTGTTGTTGTGCGTTAAAATATTCTAAATGGTCGTAAATTAACCCATATTTATAGATGATTGTGCATGTTTAACATAGGATGACGACGATGGTCACCTGATTGTGCTAGGCATCGCAGAGGAACTGATGGTGAAGGCTGCAGACATATACCTGGAGCAGTTCGCCCGTCTCGGCGTTTTCAGCAAGGTCGAAGCCCTAGCCGCCGCACCCGCTGCAACACTCAGCGCTGACGGCGAACCTCTCCCTGCCGGTACTGAGCATTTGATCTATTTTATTGCCTGTTTATTTTAATAGGGGTAACGACGGGGTAAAGTAAATGAATTTCTATTTAGTCTGTCAGTTACATTATCAACAAAAAATAAACGACACGTATTTTTTCTTTGGGCAATCAACAAAATGACGAAGATAAAGCGCATCAAAGTTTGGGAGTAGGGGCTCGTGACGTCACTTTTAAGTGAAAATTGTACCAAAACGTGACGTCATGCGACGTTTCAAATCAATTTATCTCTGTAATGTTTTGATTATGTGAATGAAGAAAAAATATCTGTCCAATACTTTTTGATAATCTACCTGATAGACGGACGAAAAAAAAAATTTAGTCGACATCTCTATTTTATTGCCACAATTGCATAAATAACGTACTTAACTCTAAAAGTATTCTCTACCAGTCAACCTTTAGGAAACAGAAATACACGAATGCGGCTTTAGTAAATAAAATAATTAGTTTATATCAACATACCATAAGAAAAAGTACTTATATATATGTTTATCTATGTATTTATAATAATTAAATATGCATGAACATATATGCACAATACATACATATACATTCATACATACCTACATATAAAATATATCGATGATGAGACTGAAAAGGACTAACGTTAGTGCGGAAAGCTTTCCAGAGGAAGTGCATGAACTTTCTATTCCCCCAACCATACCTGTAGAAAAGAAATGAGTAGAACGTAGGAACACCGGCTTACTATGACGAATAAATTAAAGGACATCGACGAAATCGGCCCTAGCATGCCCAGAAGAATGTCCTTCACTATTATTTTTCTATTATTTTTTTAACTTATTAGCAATTAATCATAGTAAACGGACAATCTGTTTAAAAAATAAAAGTTCTGTTACTAGATACTACAATCTGTTCATCCAACTTGGCACTCCTTTTTATTGAAAATACAGCATTAAAAATCAATTGATAACTGGATTCAATAGGTTTCAGTCTATAATAACGATTTATTTTAATAGTTTATTTTCTTCGTTAATATTTTATTATTAAATGGGTGATTCTGTTAAAAAGTTGTGCCAAGATTGTTTACCTTAGTAATGCAATATAGGCGACCATAGGTATTTATCAACATAAAAATAGAACTAGGTACCTTAGTTAATAATACTTATTACTAGTATTTATATTATATTTATAAAAAGATTATTTCTGAAATTATCTAAAGATAGTTTATACTCTCATCCCATGTAATATCTGTTTATTTTTATGAAAATCATAATGATAACCAGGTACCTACATACCTAATTACCGTTAGTAAAATATAGAAACAGGTAAATGGAAAGACTGAACATTTCATTTGAAAAGAAATCTATCATTACTTACTACAGGTAAAATCAATATGAATATAAGCATTTATTATTTTTATTATAAATTGCATTTTATGTTCATTTAATGCATATTAATTAAGTGCTTACATAGGGGTAAACACTAAATCTATTCAGAATATATAAAGTGTACATCTTTTATGATTAAGTATAATAATTATAACCTCAAAATCTAATACATTCTGTAGTAGGCCACGGTTCCTCAAGTTGTCCGTATCTCAACAAATGCTTATTTAGAGTTTATGAATGATTCCGAACACAACTAGCATTTTCTCATTGCTGGGCGATCTAGGGCATTCAATGTATGGGGAACGAGCAATGTCCTTTAGTGACTCATTTTTTGTCGTACTGTTCGCATGAGAAATTTCTTAGCCCGCGCACGTGTTCCCTCCTTCCTACAATCTAGAGTCCTTTAAAAGAAACGTGAAGAAGTATTTCTGCAAGCTGGCAAGGTGAATATGGTTAGTGTGGCATTTCAGAACTGCTATAACAGTTATCTTCGCGTCTGGACTTTAGCACCACTTAACATCATGTGGAGTAGTGTATTTTTTTGTGCACAAGCAAAAGTTAACAATCCTTGCGCAATCGCCGAGCGTAAAATGAAAAGTGAATACATACGTGAGATTTTGTCTTTTGTACTACATATTTTGTGGTTATACTGTTTCAACATCCGGCGACAGTGCTTGGAAAAATGAATAATTATAAAAATAACCAGCAGTACAATGTCGAATAAACTTTGGTTAAGCAAAAAAAAGTTAAAGATATCAACAGGGAACATCTTATGCTGGCACTTCAAATGGCTAATTGTATTTGTTATACAGTAGGTGTGAGCGTTCTAAAGACGAACCGGTTTCAAGGACCGTTTTGTGTTCCGCGACGATAGAACCGTTTTACGTTTCGGATCAAAACAGTCTTCGTCGAACAACTAGTCCTCGGATTGACTGAACGCCAATATGTACTTTACGACGAAGTAAATACAGTCTATAATAGAACGCAATGATATGAGGCCGTTTCGTTCTATGATAATTAAGCTTTGATTTTACAATAATATAATCTTTATTATTGAAGATTTAAAGTTGATTATCCTAAAATATTAATGTAGTGTACATTTCAATGTTTCGTCGTCTCGTTCGCAGCAACGAAACGAACGTTAACAAGATTTCATTTAGTTCAATTTCGTTGCGTTACATTCGTTCGACCGTCGCGTGTTGTTTCATTGCGTCACCCAGCAGCAACCAAAACCAGTTGCGAACGAGAACAGTTTCGAGGACTAGTTTTCGTTTAAGCGAAAACGGTTGCGTTTCGTCGCCATAAAATTTGAGAACGACCCACCGCTATTATACAGTATTTCCCTTTCAATCTTTATAGAGTATAATAACGTCAAAATGACAAATAGCAAATACGAATAGCCATGTGAAGTGCCGGCATTAGTAAACCCAAAAACAAAGAACTCGGGCAGCATTTACGTATGTGAAATTGCGCAGGCTTCGTTGTCTATAGTTTATGTTCAAGCTGTTTGTAGGGATGTATACAAGCCAAAAAATTCTTATGCAGGCAGCAGTGAAGACGCTTCGTGCCTTTCTAGCGGCGTGGCATACTCGTGGGGCGAGTGGTCGGTGTGCCGCGGACGGGACGCGCTGTACGTGTGGGGCGACGCGGCCGCGCTCGAGCTCAGCACTGGCAGCAACGGCTGGTTCCGCTTCCTGCTCGACGGGAAGCTGGCCACTATGTACTCCAGCGGCAGCCCTGAACACCAGACCGATAACACCGGTCAGTACATGTAGTATAGTCGTGGGGCGAGTGGTCGGTGTGCCGCGGATGGCACGCGCTGTACGTGTGGGGCGACACGGCCGCGCTCGAGCTCAGCACCGTCAGCAACGGCTGGTTCCGCTTCATGCTCGACGGGAAGCTGGCTACCATGTACTCCAGCGGCAGCCCTGAACACCAGACCGATAACACCGGTCAGTACATGTGGTATACTCGTGGGGCGAGTGGTCGGTGTGCCGCGGACGGGACGCACTGTACGTGTGGGGCGACACGGCCGCACTCGAGCTCAGCACTGGTAGCAACGGCTGGTTCCGCTTTCTACTCGACGGGAAGCTGGCCACCATGTACTCCAGCGGCAGCCCCGAGCACCAAACCGATAACACCGGTCAGTACATGTTGTATACTCGTGGGGCGAGTGGTCGGTGGACGCGCTGTACCTGTGGGGTGCCGCGGCCGAAATTTCCGAAAAGTGCAACACAGCAGATGCTTATTCGTTTGACAACGACGTATAGTTTTTTTTATGTTTTTTGTTTTATATATTTTAAGGGGTATACGCTGATGGCTCATTTGATGGTAAGTGATCACCGTTGCCCATAGGTACCTGTAACATCAGGAGTGTCAAAAATGCGATACCGGGCTTTAAGGAAGGAGTACGTTCTTTCTTTTCAAGATTTTTGAAGTCGTATTGGTCCGGAAACACTGCTGGTGACAATGTTTTCCACAGTTTAGTCTTATGTGGTAAAAAAATTCAACAAAATCGCAAGAATGTGGATGAAATTTTTATCGCGATGTTCGATAGCGAAAAGCAGCAGCTGATATTAATCCGAACAATTCCTCTGAACAGCGCCCGTGATAAATGCGATAGAAGATGCAGAGCGAAGCTACATCTCTACGCAAAGCCAAAGTATCAAGCCTATCGGAAAGGTCCTGGTCGCTGACAATTCGAGCTGCTCGTCGCTCGATGCGATCCAGACGCAGAAGCTGGTACTGAGGTGCCCTGTCCAAAGATGAGAACAATACTACATGTGAGGCCGAACCTCTGCTTTATAAAGTTGTAGTCGGTGGGCCAGTGTGAAGTACCTCCTCGATCTATTGTGCACACCAAGCTCCTTGAAGGCTAATTTGGCCTTGCCCTCCAGATGAACTCAGGAGTTGATATCGCTCGATATATCAACGCCAAGAATACCGATACTAGCTTAGGTAGTAAAGGGACTGTTCTCAAAAAAGGAAAGATTCGACAAATGGTAATATTTTAGCGGTAAACGCACATACCTGTGTCTTCGTAGGGTTTATTGGACCAGATTAAGGCTGATCAAAGTCTTAACTTTCGACACAAGTTTGTTCTGGCTCTCCAATAAGTTTTCACGTAAATTATTTGCGCAGCCGGTATATAAAGCATCACCTGTGTTCTCGTCCGCATAGCAATGAATGTCATAAATTTGAATCATGTCACTGATATGCAGAACAAACAGCGTGGCGATAGCACACAGCCTTTTGGGACACCCGCGTTTACGGATTTAGAGTCCGAGTATGTACTGCTGCTCCTATCCGCAAGAAAGTTTGTGACCCAAATGCACAGTTTTCGGGAAGCCCATAAGAAGAAAACTTCCAAAGAAGCGCTTTGTGCCAGACCCGAACAAAAGCCTTTGCGATATCCAGACTGACCACTAATGCTTCCCCTTTGGTATCGATCGCCTAAGTCATTCGAGTACTAAAAGAACCAGGTTTTTTTTGATCTGCGACTACTTTTTATAATTTGATTTTTGAACGACTAGATCAGCAAAATATCGAATATGCGGCGTATATAACTGATAATGCAGATTTATTGACAACGCCATAATTAAAAAAAACACCTCTGCTTAGGTGTTTTTTTTAATTGAGAATATTATCCGAGGAAAATCAATAAACCAATATAAAGCTCGCAGGCAAAATTTTAGTAACTGTTTTCAATTAAAAAAATTTACTTTTATTTCCTCGTAGTTATAGAAAGCACTATGTATCCCTCTAAAGAATGTGCTATTCCGAAATCGGGTGTATTAAGGCCCTTGGATGTACCTCGGGCCGCAAACTACACCCTCGTTGTAATCTGCTCTTTATTACTGTAACTTTATTCCTTTGTGACATGGTTGTTATTAGGTTCAACTTAAATTATTTTAAAACATTAGTTGGTTTATTATCTGTTTTTATTGAATACGACAAATGTTTCAAATCTGCGAGTTATAAGTTGTTTTTATAGATTTAATAAGTTTTAACGAATTTTACATTTACAGAAAACCGTGGTGAATTTATTGATAAGCTTCAGAGGGCAAGGGCTTCAGTCAAAAATGCAGTTCCACAGCCTATTCTCTCTAAACCTGGACCGGCTAAACTAATACTTGGCAACTGGGCCTTGTCTTGTAAAAAGTAAGCATAAAGTTTATTTAAAAAATTACTGCTGGCAGACCAGCAGTAATTTTTTAATTCAGTGAATGTAATTCGTAAAATTTACGTATATATTTCTTTCAGGGAAAAAGAGCTTCAAATACACAACACTGATGGGCAACAGCAAACAACAATATTGCGTGAAGATTTACCTGGTTTTATATTTGAATCTAATAGAGGCACAAAACACTCCTTTACTGCTGAGACATTTTTAGGTAAATAAGGCTATTTTCCAATTCATTTTTTGTAATAGTACACCTACAGTTTATATAATATGTAAAAGATGATATACTAATTCATACTATTTTTTACGATACAAAGTGCTGTATTAAATAATATAAAATAATAATAAATAATATGGTATTTGACAAGTTCTGAAAAATGACCTCACATCATTTACTAATGTGTATGGAGTCCATGGACTGAGTGAATAAAAAGTGAATATTTTTAATAATTGTTGTGTAATTTAGTATAAAACTAAATTAATAATTCAATTTTCAAGTTACTGCGAACTCTTCTCTAGACATTATGGCGTCTTACTAGTATGTGGCGTCCCACGACTGTCTTTAAAACGTCAAACGATACAATGTAATGTCACTTTGGCCTGAAGTTTACTAGCGTGTGACATCATTTTAGTCCTGGCCAATCCCAGGCGTTTTCGATCACGTGACCATGAGGCAAACAATGAGTCCTTTTTAATGATTTTATAGAAAAGTTATTAATTATTCGTTCTTACAGAATAGTAAAATCGCTGCTAATTTTCATATTAAATACAGATGCCAACAATAGGCTATTTGACTTATGTCAAATTGTACTATACAAAAGTTTATTTCTTATAATTTTTAGTATGATGAACCTAAATACATCAATTACACTTCATAAAATTACAAGAATTTAATTTGAAAAATTGTTATATATATATATATATATATATATATATATATATATATATATATAAATATAAATTGGATGTTTCAATGTTCGCAATAAGCTCACGGTTTCGGAATCTTTAATAGCGGTTTTAAAGCATGGGTGTAGATAAAACAATATTATAGGATTTTTGCACTGTACTATAGGTCTAATTTATACGTAATATTTAGGTCCAGAATTGGCTAGCGGTTGGGCTAATAGAAGACAAGTTACGACAAATGCCAGTTCTACTCAAAACCGCTCACGGTTATCTGCGAAAACGGAAGCGCTCAAGGCACAGGTGGGTTTCCTTACAAAATATGAACCTTTGTGGAATTATTATAGATTTTTATATACCTCCAGTGTAAGTGTTACAGTAAAGCTGTTTGTTACTCAGTCACGCAAAAACTAATTAATGGATTTGGATGAAAATTGGTATGCATACAGATTATGACCTGGAATAAGACATGGACACTTTTTATCCCGGAAAAATCTTAGTTTCCTGTGGGATTCTCAAAAAACCAAAGTTAACGCAGAGAAAGTCGCGGGCGGCCGCTAGTATGAAATACTAAAGAAATGACGACAAGCTTTCAGTGTGGAATCAACTATTTCGTTTATTTATTGTACATCTTAATATTAAAAGAAAATATAACTAGAAAAAATTCCACGCGGATTATATTTTCTTTAGATTTAAACATCAAGCATATACTTTAAAAAATAAAAAAATAACAAATTACATCACTTACTATATGATAGATGCGTTATCCGTGATTATGGCTAAGATACCTAATCGTTTTGAGAAGTGTTATCATTATGCAGAAGACGTGATTTACACTTCACCGCAATAATTTGTAACCCTTCTTCATTCCATTAAACACAGTTTTGTTACTTTACACTGCTCATTACTTGTTATTAAATCACTTGTTTTTACAGGTGTGTGACCGTGCCCGCTCTTTGTATTCGCGTCATCTAGCGAGTGCAGCCACGAGGCAACCGCGACCGCCCGTAGCGAGGCTTCGGGCGCTCCTAGCGAGAATGCAGCGGCTTGCTACTCAGCCCACAAGTTAGTTCACTTATCTTAGCAGTCACGAGACCACAGTACTAAAGTAAACGACGCATGTGCACTTTGTATTCGAGCCATCTAGCGAGTGCAGCCACGAGGCAACCGTGGCCGCCCGCAGCGAGGCTTCGGGCATTCCTAGCGAGAACGCAGCGACTCGCTTCTCAGCCCACAAGTTAGTTCACTTATGTGAGCAGCGACGAGACCACAGTCCTAGATTAAATTAGACGACGGATATACTTTAAATTGTATAAAATTAAACAGAGAGTGTCTATTTTGCAAATAAATTAATTGGTTAAAAATACATAGGTCCTCACCACCTGTATCAATTCTATTGTTTTTGCCGGTACTTCATGAATAATTTGCTATTTGTAAGCTTGACAACTCTCCTTTTCATTCCCTATAGTATATGATAATGTCATCCTGCTCTCAAAAAGACTAATATCAAATACGAATAGCCATTTGAAGTGCCGGCATTACAGGTTAACATGGACCATATAGACATTAAAAAAATTACGACCCACGTTCAAGCATAGTAACGCAAATAAACTGTTAAATGAAGATCTTTGCTCTCCCTTTTGGCATGTTTTTGTCACGCGAAGTGTGCACACTTGTGTATACATATATACTAGTGGCCCTAACCTCAAATAACGCTGGTGAAACCACAGGGGACCTTTAGTTGTGACATAACTGTTATAGTTAGACATATGGATCGATGTCTTTTTTTAGATATTGATGTCCTCTAGAAAACTTTAGTACATCACATTGCTCTATTGTCAATGACTTCCGTAGCGTACGCGATGTAAATTTTTTTGGTATTTTTTTTCACACATTGGGTTACACTATCGAAGTTTCCATACGGAACCCTTACTTATATAAAAAATCTCTATAGCCTATGTTCAGCAGGGATAATGTAGAATTCTAAATGTGAAAAAAAAAAATCAAATTGATCCAGTAGTTTCTATTCAATACAAACAAACAATGAAATCTTTCCTCTTTATAATATTGGTATAGATTTCGATATGTGCGTCCGCGTCTGTGGACGAGACCGTATGATTAATTACCTATTCACATTAGCGGTTATTATAAGTATGAGAAACGTCACAACTTCTCACAAATGACATAATATTTAATCACATGTGCAAATTATGGTGAATATTTCAATAAGTTGCATTGCAGTTGCATTATGCAATTTCTTATTGAATTTACCATATTTTGTATTAATAATAATTATGTACATCAATTTTATTTGAACGCAAAACAAATATAATTGTGTTTATAGTTGATTGGCAGCAAGAGCTCACCGAATCGTTGGATCAATTGGCTGAATTGTTGTGCGGCGATGAACTTTTGTCTGCTTACGAACTGCAGTCCTCTGGCCTGGCGCCTTCTCTGCTTCTAGTTCTCTCTCCACAACCGAATGGTGAGTGATTGTTAATAGTAAAATAATTTTGAGTTACTTAGTCTTATGTCGTCACTTCACTTGTTTATTTGTGTTAGCTATTTGTAAACTTGACATTAGTCTGTCCTTATCATTCCTTATCAATCATGATAAGGACAAAAATTAAACAAATTAAATTAATTTAAAAAAATAAATAGTAATAGCCAATTGAGTGCCCGCATTAAATTATGAATTTGGATAAAAATATTGGTGTAAATTATTCCACAACTGCAAGTTGTTTTTATTGTTTTTGTTTGATTTGATTATTTATCCTAATAATATAATAAATGTGAAATTGCGTATGTTTGCTACTCAATCTAACGATAATAAATACCCTAGCTACACCACGAGCGCTCTAAATGTGTCCCAACCATGAAGTGCTTGAACTCTACTCAAGCACTTCTTGGTAAGTAATTCACGCGCGGACCGTTGAAAAGTCAAGATGCCGCTGAGCTCCGTGACAAAATGCGAAAAATATACTAATAGTACGTAAAGTGTCGGTTTTTCGACAGGTATCTAATCAATGTTTATTAATTTAACGCATTTGAAGAAAATTTTGTTATAGTACTTACTATAAATAGAAAATATTTGCGATATTCTAATGCATGGTGGGTTATATGCATGGTTATACGTCGCCGTATAGCCGTCTCTTTTCCTCGCGGTGCGAACCTGCTATATTGCTAACAGCGCATTTAGAATTGTAAAGTCAATGAAATATGGTCTATATTCTTTCACATATAGCAATAATTCGTAATTTCGAGCTTCCATTCGACCTGTTATAGGTTTTGACGCATACGTTTAAATGTTCAAAGACTTTATACAGTACGAGGGCGGTTTGATAAGTCCATGACTTTGGAAAGAAGAAACAGTCTTTACATTTTTTTTGGAGTATGAAAAAAATATGAGGAGTAAAATCTACTGAACAAATGACCTCGTTACGTTTTTGTGCGCAACCTCATCTGCGCACCTTTCACTTTTCAGTTGTGTGTGTGTATACTTGTGTGTAGCCAGCGTCAATCAACCACGACAATAAAGAAGTATAGTTATATTTCAACGATAGAATCGATTGAATTGATATATATCTATTGAAAAGAATCGATCGATAAAATGAAATCGCGAATTTTATAATAAATGATTAGCGGACATTTGACGTAAAACAATATTTCTTAAGAACGGTTTAGTCTTTTTTCTCTCTTGTTCTCTTTTGAGCAAGTGTCTCTATCGTTTTTTCACAATGAATGAGAACTTCAAAACCGTTTTTCTCATAAATAAATAAAATTTTTCAAAAAAACAGCGCTTCGGACGTCGTTAGATATTTCTATTATTTACGGACGTACGAAGCGATTTTTTTGAAAATTTCCCCATCAACAGCTCTCAAATTGATAAATTATAATAAAAAAGTTATTTTAAAAATTTACATGTTTTGCAATTTTAAAAAGCTATGAATGTGAATTTAAATAAAACAATACTTTTTTCATATTATCTAATTTATTTATTATAAAAATTCTGAAAATTATCAGGCCTTGATGTAAATTTTTTTTAATGCGCTTTTATTAACTTTTGGTGTATCTCTACTTGTAACCGACTTCTTCGGGGTTGATTTTGTTTTGTGTCTGTTCAAAGACAATCGTTTATAGAGTGTAAACTCCGGTCGTGCGTCGGAGCTGACACACACATTTTTTTTTTATTTATTACATAATCTCCTTTCAACTCTACGCACTTAGTCCAGCGTTGTATCAACCTCTTCAACACATAAAAAAAATGTCAAACCCTGAAAAGTAGAACTCATTTTCGGCTACCACCTCTTCGTTCGACGAAAATCTTTGCCCGCCAAGCCAACTGTTATGTACTGACGCATAAGCTCACTCGGATTGCGATTATACATGGCTAGGCATTCCTTAGAAACTGTTACACGATTTCGTTTCTGGTCGACTGTGAGTAAACGCAGGAACTATCTTGCAGAAAGCTTTTTAATGCCCAGAATATCATGCAAAATGTAAAAAACTCGTTCAGTCGAGAAGTGCACAGCATCACTTATTTCGCGTACCTTCACTCGACAGTCTGCCAAAACAATATCATGTATTTTATTAACCATGTCCTCCAGAGTGACCTCAATCGGCCTTCCTGAGCTCTCCGCGTCATTAGTGGTAGTACGTCCACAACGAAATTCAGTGAACCACTTATGTACCATCCCATCCCACCATAATACTTTCTTTCTTAATTTGTCTTAGGTCTGCTTAATAGTTTTACCACGTATAAAATAGTGTTTAATTAGCACCCGAAACTCGCTTTTCTCCATTTTCAAAGAATACTTTTTCTAAAAAGCTTGTTTTCGCGACAAATTTGTAAAAAGAACAACATGCGCTTGGCATTGAGTTTCCAAATATGAGACAAAAAACAAAATTAATAAAGTTTTTATTCAATCTTAAAGTCATTGAGTTGCCAAACTGCCCTCGTATGCATTAAAGGTGACTTTCAATGTTTAAATAATGCCTTATATTGTTTTTGACCATGCGATATTCTTGGAAGCTCCATGGATCGTCCAATGTACCTTTTGGAAACGTTTCGGCCACGATTTTGTTCGTGTTGTTGTATCTAGGGTATTTAATATCGTTGACTCAATCACACAAAACAGCTGTTGAAATTTGTTGAGGGATTCTCGAACCAACAAAGTCAACACGGATGAAATCGCGCGCGGATGCTAGTAGTATTTTTAATTATTGATGGCTTTATTAATTAGGTTAAGAATAGTAAACATTAATAATGTCATTGCGACTCACGCGCCTTCACCTAACAACTCACGGCGCAATTTATTCCCGCCGCGCCGCGCGATGGCTTAGGTGGTTAGTGCTTTTGGCCTGTGATAGTGAAAGTTAAGCAACTTTTGCTATGGTCGATTATTGGATGGGTGACCAAAAAGTTATTACCTCGAGCTCCTCTGTGCTTCGGAAGGCACGTTAAGCCGTTGGTCCCGGGATCATCTGCAGTCATTAGCACCCACCCATCTGCCTACTCCAACCATAGGGAAGGCCTGTGTCCCAGCAGTGGGAAAATTAAAGCTGAGTTCAGATGGTCCTGCGTCGAACGAGTTCAGATAACACATGGCTACCCTCTTCCATTTTCGCTGCTCTATACGTTTGCACGCAGCATGTCGCGCAGATCATTTGAACAGGCCATTTGACTGACTGTAGGAAAACAATATGCGCGTCAGCACGCATTTACGCGCGGTTCAAGATATCTGGGACTGAGCAGCGACGATCGCGTGTGAACGTGCGATTACACGCGATCATCTGAACGGTCCTATGTAATTATTTGGAAATTCTTTACGTGCATCAGAATGTACGCGCGTTGTTGCAAGACCATCTGAACTTATCCTTATGAGCTTGTGATGATAATGAACAGGAACAAAGTGCAATGAATCTTCATTATGTTATTGTTAGATGCGCCTGGTCAAGCGAGCGAGCGGGAGCGCATAGTGCGCACGTGGGTGTGCTCGGGCGAGGGTAAAGCAGGCGGCACGGTAGCGGCGCGGCTGGTGGGCGTGCTAGAGAGCGTGGAGCGGCTGCCTGTGCTCGCGCCGCCCGGGGACGCGGCCCCGCCCGCCCCCGCGCACGGCGCGCTTCACCACCTCACCAAGCGGATCAGGTCACCCCCACCGACATATTACTGATACTCACACCGACAGCGTGGAGCGGCTGCCCGTGCTCGCTCCGCCCGGGGACGCGGCCCCGCCCGCCCCCGCGCACGGCGCGCTGCACCACCTCACCAAGCGGATCAGGTCACCCCCACCGACATATTACTGATACTCACACCGACAGCGTGGAGCGGCTGCTCGTGCTCGCGCCGCCCGGAGAAGCGGTGCCGCCCGCCCCCGCAACATGGCGCGCTGCACCTCCTCACCAAACGGATCAGGTCACCCTCACCGACATATTACTGATACTCATACCGACAGCGTGGAGCGGCTGCCCGTGCTCGCGCCGCCCGGGGAAGCGGCCCCGCCCGCCCCCGCGCACGGCGCGCTGCACCACCTCACCAAGCGGATCAGGTCACCCCCACCGACATATTACTGATACTCACACCGACAGCGTGGAGCAGCTGCCCGTGCTTGCGCCGCCCGGGGAAGCGGCCCCGCCCGCCCCCGCACATGGCGCGCTGCACCACCTCACCAAACGGATCAGGTCACCCTCACCGACATATTACTGATACTCACACCGACAGCGTGGAGCGGCTGCCCGTGCTCGCTCCGCCCGGGGACGCGGCCCCGCCCGCCCCCGCGCACGGCGCGCTGCACCACCTCACCAAGCGGATCAGGTCACCCCCACCGACATATTACTGATACTCACACCGACAGCGTGGAGCGGCTGCCCGTGCTCGCGCCGCCCGGGGAAGCGGCCCCGCCCGCCCCCGCAACATGGCGCGCTGCACCTCCTCACCAAACGGATCAGGTCACCCTCACCGACATATTACTGATACTCATACCGACAGCGTGGAGCGGCTGCCCGTGCTCGCGCCGCCCGGGGAAGCGGCCCCGCCCGCCCCCGCGCACGGCGCGCTGCACCACCTCACCAAGCGGATCAGGTCACCCCCACCGACATATTACTGATACTCACACCGACAGCGTGGAGCAGCTGTCCGTGCTTGCGCCGCCCGGGGAAGCGGCCCCGCCCGCCCCCGCACATGGCGCGCTGCACCACCTCACCAAACGGATCAGGTCACCCTCACCGACATATTACTGATACTCACACCGACAGCGTGGAGCGGCTGCCCGTGCTCGCGCCGCCCGGGGAAGCGGCCCCGCCCGCCCCCGCGCACGGCGTGCTGCACCACCTCACCAAGCGGATCAGGTCACCCCCACCGACATATTACTGATACTCACACAGACAGCGTGGAGCGGCTGCCCGTGCTCGCGCCGCCCGGGGAAGCGGCCCCGCCCGCCCCCGCGCACGGCGTGCTGCACCACCTCACCAAGCGGATCAGGTCACCCCCACCGACATATTACTGATACTCACACCGACAGCGTGGAGCGGCTGCCCGTGCTCGCGCCGCCCGGGGAAGCGGCCCCGCCCGCCCCCGCGCACGGCGTGCTGCACCACCTCACCAAGCGGATCAGGTCACCCCCACCGACATATTACTGATACTCACACCGACAGCGTGGAGCGGCTGCCCGTGCTCGCGCCGCCCGGGGAAGCGGCCCCGCCCGCCCCCGCACATGGCGCGCTGCACCACCTCACCAAGCGGATCAGGTCACCCCCACCGACATAAATATTTAAGATATTTCTTAAGTCACACTCATAGGCTAGTTGACACTTTTTATGTTTTAAATGGTTAATAATTGGTCTATTAGACCGGAAATAAATGTATTGTATTTTTTTTGACCTAGAAAGCTACAAAACTTAAATTTTAAAATAGATTTTACATGGACATACAAATACGCTCACGGCCATTTTAGTCTATAGATTATCTTTGCTATGACGTCAAAAAAAAATGTAAACAAACACTCGCAAGCACGTAGGGAATAACCTATCTGAATTTATATTACAAAACCGTGATTTCTAATAGATTTCATGTTAAATATAGTAATTATCTACAATCATGATAATTACTATATTTATCATGAAATCTTATACGAGAATGTAGAATCACATCGTTAAAGATTCCAGAAATGTTGTGATTTAAATTGCCTAGAGAAATACACACATGAACACACATTTAAAACTTGCTAAATCCTGTAACTTTGCCTGAAAGTTATTTCTTTTTGCAAAGATCACTTCAATGTAATTACTCATTCAATAATATTCTTACGTGTCGGGATGGGGTTCGAAATTATATGCCAGTTCACGCTTGACAGTTCTTTATTCACCACACATTTCACACAATTAACACACAATGTTAATTACAAAACACTCACTAAACACTGTATTTCACTAAACAAGTCTCTAAACAATCTCACTTGAACACTTTTGTTGCACTTTGATCGCCTTTGGATTCGCTCCGAAATCGCTGTTGAAACTCAACTGTCTCAGCGCGGCGCCAATCGGGCTTATATACGGCGATTGACGCATTCTAGAAAGTACCTGTTAAATTGAGAATTACCTAGCGCCCGCGAGTACGAAATACCTACTTACCTACGCAGGTAACACGCATAACTTGTAAACAAGTGCAGATGTCGTTGCACTTTCACCCTTACGCCGCACTGCATAAGGCTCATTTTAGAATGAGCCGCCTTACTCGACCTCTATCGCGACCCGCGGTGATCTGGCAAATTCGATCTCTAGCACTTTCGCGGTTACGTTTCGAGAGCGTTTGGGTCAATATTTAAAGTTAAAAAATACAACTTTTATGGTTATGAATTTACCTACTCAAAGAGTTTTGTCTTTTCTGCTTTCACAAATCCGGCGTCCAACATTAAATTAGTCAACAAAACCAATAAACGGAAACTTTTCTACAAGATATAAGAGTTTTTAGGTATGCTTTAGTCCGACGAAAGAAACACGGTAACACAACAATGACGTTTAGTTGTTTACAAATTTGTTGACATCACAGTCATGGTGGACAGCGTTTTTAGTGTTTGAAAAGCATAGACTAAAAAACTATTTTTCGAATTAAATTACTACAGCCATCTTCCAATGTTATGAAGTGAAATCGATGTATTTAGGTTCCTCATACCTAAAATTATAAGAAATAAACATTTGTATAGTGCAATTTGACATGAGTCAACTAGCCTATTGGTCTGTACACAAATAAAGCACTGCAAGGATGGCACACAAATTAATTATTATTAAAAGTGATTGTGGTATTGGATACTAAGGTCAAAGTTAAAATTCCTTTATTCAAATTGGAAGCATAATACAACTTGTTCATATTTTTCCCTACTACCTGTTAAGGACTTTTTCAGTTGTGGAAAAAAAACAGGCTCAAAGAAACTTCACAGCGTAAAATTTTATAACAATAGCCATGACTGAGAACAAATGCCCTTATTCATTACAAAAGCAGGGGCCACTTCTTCTCACTTTAAAATTCATCTTAAAAAAATATAGTAAAAAATAACTGTCTCTTTAAATATATAATGAATGCTACCATCAAAACAATAATTAGAACAAATTTTCTAAACAAGTAGGAACTAATTGGGGGGTATAACATATTTACATATCATTATAGATTGCGAGTTGAACGCGCCAACGAAGCAGGTGCAGAAGAATCGAACAGTAATAATGGTAACAACGCAGGCCGTAACCTAAAAGTGGAGGCGCTTACCACAGTACGTCAGCTGGAAAGATTCCTGGCCAAGTATTTCGCACGACAGTGGTACGACATGGAGCGTAGCACTTTTAATTTCGTGCAGAAGATAAAGGAAGATGCACCGATCACTTTCACTTACGACGTGAGTAACAGTTACGATGGAATCATACAATTTTGTTCAGTGATTCAATCAGCCGCAAAATGATCCTTCCTATTTTACATATCCTGATTCCTGTGATCACAACTATTCTTAATACTTCAGTCTCTACTGGAGTTTTCCCTTCTTCCTGGAAAGATGCAAATGTCATTCCTCTCCCCAAAAAATCCAATCCTGCCTCTTTTTCGGAATACTGTCCCATATCCATTCTCCCATTTTTATCTATGATCCTTGAAAAATTAATATCCCGGCAGCTTACGGCTTTTCTTAATACGAATCACCTCCTCAACTCTTTTCAGTCTGGCTTTCATAGGGGCCACAGCACTACTACCGCATTGATTAAAATTTCGGACGACATCCGCAGAGGAATGGACAATCGGCAACTTACGTTATTGACGCTGCTTGATTTTAGCAACGCCTTGAACTCAGTCGACTTTGACATCCTTCTAGGCATTTTAGGTTCACTTAGCATATCTCCATCCGCAATTGAGTGGTTTCGAAGCTACCTGCTAGGCCGCCGGCAGCGTATCCGTATTGATGACACCTTGTCTTCTTGGTGTGATATCATTGCCGGTGTTCCTCAGGGTGGCGTCCTATCTCCTCTCCTATTTTCTATCTTTATAAATTCTATCACAATGTCGCTTTCATGTTCATATCACCTTTATGCTGATGACCTCCAAATATACACTCAGGCCCCTTTATCTGACCTCTCTAACGCAATTTCGATTATCAACGCAAATTTGTCGCTTGTAAGTAGTTGGAGTGGGTCATTTGGTCTAACTTTAAATCCTGAAAAGACTCAATCGATCATTATTGGTAGTTCTTATTTTATTTCTAGGATCAACTTTGATCAATTGCCTACTATTATTTTGAACGGTTCTATTATTCCCTACTCAGAGACCGTCGGAAACCTGAATGTTGTCTTTGATCAGAGCTTCTCCTGGAAACCGCATGTGGAGGCAGACAGAAAAAAGGTGTTTGCTGCGTATGGTAACCTTAGTCGCTTGCGTAACTTTTTGCCGATCAGTACCAAAATCAACTTGGCAAATTCTCTCTTGCTGTCTATCATCGACTACGCTGACGTTTGCTACACTGATCTGTCGGAGGAACTTCTCAATAAATTAGAGCGACTGCAAAATGTTTGTATCAGGTTCATTTATAATCTCCGAAAATTCGACCACGTGTCTCACTTCCATAGTTAACTCAATTGGCTCCCTATTCGCCGGCGCAGGGATCTACACACTCTCACGGTCCTCTATTCTATACTTTTCCTGCCATCTTCTCCGCCTTATCTTAAGCAGTGTTTCTCTTTTCTATCTTCTTCTCAGCTCTCGTTGCTATCCTCTTCTAACCTTCTTCTTGAAATTCCCTGTCACTCTTCTGACTTCTTTTCTTATTCCTTTTCTGTGCACGCCGCTCGGTGGAATTCTCTCCCTGAAGGAATCAGAAAGGCTCATTCACTTAATTCCTTTAGCGATCAAGTTAAAAGCTATTTCCTTTCCGTTTCTTAAATCCATTTAGCATCGCATTTCTTTGCTTCTCTTGAATATTTATGTAAGGATTATTTCCTGTATTTTTTCTTTTGCACCCTTCTATATTTATCTATATTATTATTCCTCTTCCACCTTAGGTTGCCTGGAAGAGATTGCTGTTTAGCAATAAGGCCGCCTATTGTACTCTTTCTTCTGTTTTTTTTGTTTATGTCTTGTGTCCTTTGTTGTGTGCAATAAAGAATATTTATTATTATTATTAATTTTGTGATTATGAGTATTGTTTTTTTTATTTATTTATTTAGAGGCTTTTATTTTTATAATATGTCAGTCTCATCTCCTAACACAATTTTAATTAATAAGGCCACATTGGAGAAGGGGAGCTATTCCTACTAGCGAAATCCATATATATATATATATATACACAGTGGTGGTTACATAATTAAAGACACTCCCTAATTGACCACAAAAAACTTACTTATGGTACTAATGGAGCTAAAATTGGTATTTAATCTAGTGTAATTGTTATTAAACTATACACGACGTTGTATTCTTACAATGTGGGACAAAAAATAGTTGTGTTCGTTAGTAGTTTAGACACTGCTCACTATGGGAACATAACACAAACTTTTTTAACGTACTTGTAGCTGACCAGCTAATTAAAGACAGTAAAATCTTGTTTTGCTTTGTTTCGCCGCGTATTTTCATGAAACGACGATATTATTTAAAATCCTAATATTTTTATTAAAATTAATACGTTTTAAACCCAGCAATATGGGAAAAAACAAGAGTTGCGATTCGTCCACTAGGAAGATTATTTTCAACTTTCATAATAAAGATTGGTCAAACAGAAAAATAGCAAACCACTTGAACTGTTCTAAGGACATGGTTATGAACGCTATAAAACATTTAAAGAAGTTCAACACGACCGAAAACGTATCAAGAAAACCGAGGCCAAGAAAAACTATTCTGCGGGAAGACTAAGATTGTATTTGTTGGCAAAGAAAGATCCGTTCAAGGGATCAGAACTGATACGTTCGGAGTTGTTTGGTGCAGGGGGGTCGAAAGGTGTGTCTGCAAGAACAATTAGACGGAGACTATGTGAGGCATCTTGTACGGAAGAGTGTCTCGGAAGGTGCCACTTTTGAAAAAGCAAAATGTGAAGGCAAGATTAGCATTTGCTTCAAAAATATGTGCACTGGACTGAACGAGAATGGAAACATGTGCTTTTCTCTGATGAAACAAAAATTAATATGATTAATTCTGACGGAAAACAATACGTTAGACGCCCCTCGAACAAAGAAATGGATCCAAAGTATACCAAGAAAGTAGTTAACCATGGGGGCGGAAATATCAAAGTTTGGGGCTGTTTCTCAGGACTTGGTGTTGGCCCTGTCAGGAAAATAGAAGGCAACATGGATAAATTTCAGTACAAGAATATTTTAGAACAAGCCATGCTGCCCTTTTTTTTTTTTTTATTACGCAGGTAAAAAATCTTTTTACAGACGACGGCGCCTCTAAGGGGCACACCGCCGAACGGACCTCACCCCTTGCTCCCGCAAGTCTTACGAACCCCCATAGTGGATGCCCACCTGGGACCCCGCAACTCTTACGGGAGCTTTACGGTATAATATCCGCTAAAAAAGTCCCGCGAATACCTTCACTACTGCCTGATGCGGTGCCGCGGGATCCCCGCTAGTGGGGTTATCTCCGCGTCCCCGCACCCAGCAGTTTCCCGGCCTCGCCGGGGCTCCACAGCAGGGGTCTCCCGCGGTATTTCGGGGACCCCGCAGACTTGCGCGGGTAGGCCCGCGCGTGGGGGCTAGGTATGCGGCCTACTGCCCACCATACCGCCCCCCGTCCGCTGCGGAAAGCTAAAGCCCTCCGCCACCCTCCCCTTGCGGACAGAACCACATGAGGAGGGCCGCCGTTTCTGGAAGCCATGCTGCCCTATGCCGAGCAAAATTTCCGGTCATTTGGACTTTCGAACAGGATAATGATCCGAAACACACTGCAAAAGTAATTAAAGACTTTAAGGAACCAGTCTGTGACAGTTTTGGATTTTCCCCCGTCTAGTCCTGAACCAAAACCAATGGAAAATTTGTGGTACCAGATGAAGAAGACAATGGCGTCAAAACGGACAGCAAACATCGATCAATTTTACACGGGCTTTTAGAAAAAGCTAAGAAATAAATGTTATTCTCCAATTTAAAAAAAAAGGACGAGTTATGGTTTTTTTTAAATGTTTCTAATTAGTCATCCAAGCGGCCAGTAACAGTAAATAAACTCCTACTTGTGTAGACTCACTTTGTAATTAAAAGTAAGATATGTTTTATATTTTATGCATTTAATGAGTTTTTTATTTGAGTTCATATATTATTGCATAATTCTTAATTATTGAATGTGTATATTTTCTACAAACATTTGTACGTTAAGTTACACTTTCTTTATTTATAAGAAATGTTTCTAATTATATAACCACTACTGTATATCTTTTTGGATATAGATATTGCAAGTGACAATATTTTTGTATAAATATCTTTATTTCTCTCTCTCTCTCTCTCTTATTTATGTTCCCTACACATTCCATTAATATATTTTATAGCACAGTGTGCTAAACCCGCACTTTACGCACGCTTTTCCGTGACCTAAGTTGCCTATTTCTGCACGGTGTGTAAATGAATTGACCAACTTCACTCATGTAAAAAAAATAAAAGGAAACACATTTAAATGTCCTTTGGAGCTTAACTCATTCCCGTTGTTAATATATTGTTATGCCAATCAAGGAATAAACGTTCATGGATACATTGAAATTCTATTTCGTTGTAATGATATTTGATTTTTTCCTTTTGAAATATACTTTCAAAGTGGTAATCTGAACCGGAATTCTTTCTTTTCAGAGTTTGACTTGCAGTCTGTATTGCAATTCTTTGTGATTGCAATACATGAATTTTACTTTCAAAACACTAATCGCATCCCTCGTACATAAACCCCCCCTCTTGCCCGCGTCCGGGGCGGGTTTATGTGACACTTGCTATAAAATAGTATACGATACTTGTGGCCTAAGTTGTCTGTTACTGCACGGCGTTTAGCACCCTCGCTCCGCTCGGGCGCTAACTTCACGCCGTACAGTGATAGGCAACTTAGGTCACGCGTATCGTAAGGTACTAATAATATTAATTTTGTCTTTTGTTTCAGCATGATTTCGACGAAAATGGTGTCCTTTATTTTATCGGTAGCAATGGTGGGACTTGTGAATGGGTCAATCCCGGTGCCCACGGCCTCGTCAGCGTGTGGTCCTCAGACGGGAAGCAATTGCCTTATGGCAGAGCTGAGGATGCTCTCTCGCGCTCACCAGAGCCCCTGAACGTGCACACTAACGATGATAGGCGCGCGTTCATTGCCCTCGACTTGGGCTTACATATCGTGCCTTCCGCTTACACGCTACGCCACGCCAGAGGGTATGGCCGATCCGCACTCAGAAACTGGCTGTTCCAAGTGAGTATCGGTTACCATTTTCCAATAAGTTTCGTATCTTGTATTGATGTGTAACATCTTTCCTCTCGCTTTCGTGCAATTTGTGGGAGTGATTACGTAAAGTGGGACGGAAGTATGTTACAGGAACTCGGACCCTCGTTAGTTATAAATGTAAAAAAATGAAATAAATAGATATTTAGGGCTTATTGAAAGGTATAAGTGGCCCACCCTTTATCATAGGTTAAATAACGAAGATTCAATTAAAGTTATCGTGTTTTGCCCAATAGATGTCAATGGATGGCGTTACTTGGAGCACGCTTCTTGCTCATAGCGACGAGCAGGCGTTACAAGAGCCTGGTAGTACGGCCACTTGGCGTTTGCGTGCCGACGCAGCCTACAGATATCTACGCATCCAGCAAAACGGCAAGAACGCCAGCGGGCAAAGCCACTATTTGTCGCTCTCCGGCTTGGAGTTGTACGGCAAGGTCAGATAGTAGGAGCATTTTACTTCTTAATAGGTAGCACAACTTAATAAATCTGTTAGTTAGTTGAGATTCTCATTTCAGATAAAAAAAGAAGCTCTAATAAGGATGTATCCGAAATTATGCAACGAATGCGCGTCGTACGTCGTGATGTCGTGTTATAGCCCAAATTAAGGTTCCATGGTTCACTAGGTTGCTGGCCTATTTAAATTAATTTTTAAAAAGCAACCATAATATTTCCGACGCTTATTTTGTTTATTTATATTCTGAAGAAGTAACCTGCTTGATTTATAACTGTTAAGAAAGTTTTACTTAAAAAAAATCTAGCCGGTCCAGATATCTGACAGGGCCCGAACCTACGCCTTCCGCTATCCGAGCCGAAGCTACGTTATTTTGTATTGTTATTATAGACACACTAATATTATAAAGGCGAAAGTTTGAGTGTGTATGTTTGTTACTTCTTCACGTCGAAACAGCTGGAGCAATTTTATTAAAATTTGGAATGGATTTAGCTGACAACCTGGATTAACACATAGCCTACGTTTAATTGCAGCAAAATATCCCTAATAAACCACGGGGCACAGCTAGTAATCAATAATGAATAAACGCAGGTGGTGAGCGTTTGCGAAAGCGTGCCGCGTCAGTGTGGGAGTACAGGCCCGGGCTCAGGGGCGACATCGGGCACGGGGACAACAACAACCCCCGGCAGCGGGACGCGGGCTAGACGCTGGTCACGCGGGGCCCGCGGTTTGTGCGCGGGAGCGCGCGTCATGCGGGGCCCCGATTGGAAGTGGCGCGATCAGGACGGACCCCATCCCGCCATGGGTACTGTCACTTCGGACCTTCACAACGGATGGGTCGACGTCAGGTACCGTATCAAATAATATTAACACCCGTACTCAAAAACTTCAAATTAAAGTTCCATTAAATAGCATGTTGTCTCATTTTATTGTCACCACTGACTTGCGCAATGGATAGGTTGTCATCGGGTATGCAACCCGGCAAACTATACTACTAGTACTATACCAAAACGAAAACAAAAACTTCAATTTTACATTCAAAACGCCTACTGCGCATGTTTATTTGTCTAGTTTATCGCTACCTACCATAGCACACAATATTGAAACCTGTGTTCACAAACTTTAAATTAATGATTCATTAAGTCAGTGAAGAATCATACGTAATTATAAGTTATGTAATTAATACAGTCGGTTAAACGTCATTTAAATAAAATTAAGTATAGGTACGTTGAAAAATTAATACATGACATGAAATGACAAGGTAATTCAGAAAATTATTTACTATTATTTTGACGTTGTAAACATTGGATATTTTAGTTTGGGCGACAATTTTGCCAGTTATCACAGCTTCATTTATTATTTCTACCACCTACAATACAAAGTACCTACTGTATAATCTCCCTCTAATTCAATGCATTTCCTACATTTATTAAAAAGAGCTTTTAAAAAATATTCGCCGTTTCTGCCTTCAAAATGTTCATTTACGGCCGCCTTCATTTCCTCGACACTTGAAAGTCACCTTTAGTGCGTACTGTATAAGGTCTTAATTTAAACGCATGTGTCAAAGAGTAATGACAGTTCAAAATGCAAACTCGTAAAATTTTACGACAGTGCTATATGCGAAGGAATATAGACGAATAAGCATATTACGCGCAATCCTGAATACGCTGTTAGCAATTTAGAAGGTGTGGACCGCGAGGAAAAGAGACGGCAATATAACCGACCAGGTATTTGAATATAACAAATATTTTCTATTAAATCAATTTATAGTAAGTATTATGACAAAATTTGCTTCAAATGCGTTAAATTAACAACATTGATTAGATATTTGTCGAAAAACGATACTTTACGCACTATAAGTATTTTTTCGCTTTTTTTATGGAGCTCTGCGGCATCTTGACTTTTCGACGGTCCGCGTGTGACTGTGAACCAAGAAGTGCTTGAGTGGAGTTCAAGCTCTTCTTGATTGGAACACATTTCGAGCGCACGTGGTGCATCTAGCGTATTCAATATCGTTGGAAATATATGGCGGTATAGAAAATAGATGGCGGTGGTTGTTTTCTACATCGGAGATGTTATGATTTGTGTTTGTATAATAGACTTAAAATTCGTCGACTGAATTAAATTAAAACATGAAAGTTCATAGTCGTCATTTTTTCTCTTATTCTTACATTTAAGTTAAGGTTAGTAACGACAAAACCAAACCTACACAGTTTATGTTAAATTAAATTTATCTAATATTTAATCTAATTCGTCTTCTTCTGACTCTAGAGGTCTAGAATCTACTTTGTGGGCTTGTACCAACTTCACACTGTTTAGACTCAATCTGCTCCGAACTGAATTCTCTTGAGTTCAAAATTAGTTTTTTTGTGAAAACGATTCCTATTTTATTAAAATTGACTTGTCGTACACTAATAGGACATCCAGTAATTAAATAGTCGTATAAGTGTCAAAAGTAATTTAAAGTACTATAAGAGGCATATTTTTTACTCTAACAAGATTGTCTCGCAACTCTGTTATGATTCATGAAACAATTACGCGATATTCAGTCGCGTAATTTTTTCAAACAAATGAAGTGTTTGTTGGGATATTTTATTTTTACTTTGATTATTATATTGGAATAATATTATAACTGAAGAGATAATTCGGTTTACATTATTGAATGCACAATGACAGGCCTGATAAGTTTCCTTTACTGTCCGCATAGTCTATTTTGTCGATTTAGTGCTGTCACCTATAGTTCTTGCATTTTCTCTATATAAAATGCAAAGTTACGTTATATTTCGGTATTTTGCCAAGTTTTTATTGACTGACTTAGATAAACAATATACGATTTTAAAAACTATACCCACCAAAATTCTTTATGTTGGCTCTTTGTTAAAATTAGGTGGGATCATGGCGGAAGGAACTCGTACCGCATGGGAGCGGAGGGCAAGTTCGATCTGAAGGTAGTCAGCGGCAGCGGCACAAGCGGCGAGGGGGCGCGACACGGCCGCAAGAGTCACTCCACACCGAGTCTGCCGGACGCCACCGCTGTGGACCACCAGGTCAGTGACAATGATGCCCCGTTGTAGCCGTCATAGTTCCATCTGAAGGTGGTCAGCAGCGGCGAGTGGGCGCGACACGGTCGCAAGAGTCACTCCACGCCGATTCTGCCGGACGCCACCGCTGTGGACCACCAGGTCAATGACAATGATGCCCTGTTGTAGCCGACATGGCTCCATCTGAAGGTGGTCAGCAGCGGCAAGGCGGTGCGTCACGGCCGCAAGAGTCACTCCACGCCGATTCTGCCGGACGCCACCGCTGTGGACCACCAGGTCAATGACAATGATGCCCTGTTGTAGCCGACATGGCTCCATCTGAAGGTGGTCAGCAGCGGCAAGGGGGTGCGTCACGGCCGCAAGAGTCACTCCACGCCGATTCTGCCGGACGCCACCGCTGTGGACCACCAGGTCAATGACAATGATGCCCTGTTGTAGCCGACATGGCTCCATCTGAAGGTGATCAGCAGCGGCAAGGGGGTGCGTCACGGCCGCAAGAGTAACTCCACGCTGAGTCTGCTGGACGCCACCGCTGTGGACCACCAGGTCAGTGACAATGATGCCCCGTTGTAGCCGACATGGTTCCATCTGAAGGTGGTCAGCAGCGGCGAGGGGGTGCGACACGGCTGCAAGAGTCACTCCACCCCGAGTCCAGGTTGAAAGAATATATTAGCTGCGTATCGTCGGCAAACATCTCAACGTGTGCGTGCCGCACACAGCGCGGCAGGTCCGCCGTGTAAACGGAGTACAGCAATGGAGATATACATGTACCCTGTGGACAGCCTCGTGTCAGCACTCTGGCCCCAGATAATTCCGCCATACCATCAGTATTTTTGCACTTAACTATTTGTTTTCGATTATCAAGATAACTTTTCTTCAACTGCAAGGCAGTATCATCAAGGCCATAGAATTTAAGTTTTGATAATAATAACTTTATTTCTCTATACTATTCTCGGGGTAGCCTAATTCCCTAGAGAACGCGTCCCTAGGTGGCGGATGGGGGAAGCTCGGAGGGTTCACGTTCTCCTATTGTAGTGCGGAAATCCAATGAGTTGGAGAAAACATTTTTCTCCCGCGGACCACAAGGCCGAAGAAGGACACTTCGTAAAAAATCCTCGCCTATAGGCTGCTCTGTCATATATGGAGTTAAGGCTATCGGTGTACTGAGCTCCTAGGTTGGGGAACTCAGAAGGGTTGGCGGCGGAAGAACCAATGGTCAACGGCGGCACCCAGTCTCTCCAGGAGAGGCACAACCTTGGCGTCAGGTGGCAGCCGGCCGTAAAAATAAAATAGCTAAAAATATTTCTCCTAATTTATGAATTACAAAGGCAAGAAAATGGGTAATACTGCTAGGGCGTCCCCCGGAAGCGACGGAAAGGATGCGAATGATGCGAAAAATGCTAGGGCGTACCCCTTAGGCGACGACCTTGATGACAAGAACAAATGTTTGCGCTCAATCGCCAAGATAAGAATGGCAACATGGAATGTAGGATCTCTCACTGGACGTAGCCAAGAACTTGCAGAAACCCTGAAAAGGAGAAATATAAATATCTGCTGTATCCAGGAAACACGCCTGAAGGGATCAAAATCTAGGGAGTTGGGGCTGGGCTACCAGCTGGTTTACTAACAATAAGCAAAATGGAGTGGGTGTCATATTGGATAACCATCTTAAAAGCAGGATAGTAAATATCCATAGGAAAACCGACCGTCTTATTGCAGTGAAATTAGCCATGGATAACCAGTGCGTCATGAATATAATCTGTGCCTATGGGCCTCAAGCAGGGTGCGGACTACAGGATAAGGATGCTTTCTGGGAAGACATGGATGAAATTGTGGCAAAAGTACCACAAGGAGAATCCAAATTTATCTTAGGTGATTTGAACGGGCACGTAGGTAAATGCAATAAAGTTTGTCAGGGCGTGCATGGGGGTTTTGGCTACGGCACCAAAAACAGGGAAGGAGAAAATATTCTGGAGTTCGCATCCAGACATGACCTGTCTATTATTAACACCACGTTCCAGAAGAAAACAGACCACCTAATTACATATAAAAGCGGAGGAAAGGCGTCGCAAATAGATTATATCCTTGCCGATACCTATCTAAAGAAGAACTTTAAGGATGGTAAAGTCATACCGGGTGAATCTCTAACTTTGTGAAGTTAGAGACACAGAATTTTAGTTGGAGTATATCATTTACCGAAACCCATTAATGCAAGAATAGATAGAACACCTCGAATAAAATGGAAGGAACTTACCGGACCAAAAGGTGATTCTCTATTCGAAGAATTGGAAGAATATCTGGCAGGGGATATCAACAAGGCGTATGACGGCTCTGAAGATATGTGGTCAAATTTCGAGAATAAATGTAGAATCAGTGCGGGCAGGATGTTGGGTGTTTCAAAAGGCGCTTTAAGTACAGAAAAAGACCCTTCTTGGTGGAACAACGAAGTCAAAACCAGTATCCAGAATAAAAAAAACATGTTCAAATCTGGCAAGCTTCTGCAGCAGAACAAGATCATAATAAATACAAAGAGGCAAAGTCACAGACAAAAAATTGTGTGGCTCAGGCTAGGGCAAATGCGAGAAACGAGTTTTATGATAAAATTGGAAAAGCAAAATCGGATTGTGAAATTTTTAAAGTAGCTAAAAGTAAAAATAAGGCGGTCCAAGATATTAAAAGCAATAAATATATCAAGGACAAAAACTGGAAGCTGCTGACTGTGATTGAGGACATAAATAAAAGATGGTATGAATATTATAAGCAATTATTAAATGAGGAGTTTCCCAGCCAAGGTCTGATACAGCTTGCACCAGTGGAAGGACCGATAGAGAGCGTTAGCCTTGAGGAGGTAAAAAGGGCAGTGAAAAGGATGAAAAACCGCAAAGCAGTAGGCCCTGACGAAGTACCCGCCGAAGTGTGGAAATCACTTGGTCTCCTAGGATTGAAATGGCTTACAAAACTTTTTAATATCATTCTTACAAGCGGTAAAATACCAAAATCATGGTGCCTCAGCCACTTAGTCCCTTTTTATAAAAACAAGGGTGACGTCACAGACTGCAGCAATTATACGGGTATAAAGCTGACATCCCATTCATTGAAAATTTGGGAACGCATAGTAAATAACCGTATACAGAACCTCGCATGTATAAGCCCAAACCAATTTGGCTTCACACCCTCAAAGTCCACAACAGATGCAATACAGACTATAAGAGTGCTAATAGAAAAACATCGCTTAAACAAGAAGGATTTGCACATCATTTTCATCGACCTTGAGAAGGCATTTGATAGGGTTCCGCGTGGTTTGATGTGGCAAGCTTTGAGAGCACAATATTTGCCTGACATTTACGTGCATTTGGTACAGGATATGTACAGTAACGTGAGGACAAGAGTCAGAAGCGCTGCCGGTTTGAGTGATGAATTTGAGGTGAAGGTGGGAGTTCATCAGGGCTCAGCCCTGAGTCCCCTACTTTTTAACTTGGTCATGGACTTCGTAACTAAACGCGTGCAGGCGCCTTTGCCTTGGAACATCTTGTATGCTGATGATATTGCTCTTATCAACAACACAGCAACAGGACTTCAAGCAAGCTTAACGTCTTGTATTGGGGCCCTGGAAACAATGGGCCTCAGGGTCAGTCGATCTAAGACGGAGCACTTGGAATGCCTTTTTAATAATGATAGCCACCCAACAACAATCCACTATCCTGTTAACACGCCCGTACCGTAAATAACACAATTTAAATACCTAGGCTCAGTGGTTTCAGGAAACGGAGAAATAGAGGCAGATGTGGCGCATAGAGTAAATGTAGCGTGGCAAAAGTGGAGATCTCTAACAGGAGTTTTATGTGACCCCCGCATGCATGTACGCTTGGTGCGTGTATGCATGTAGGCAAAGTCTATAAGACGGCAGTGAGACCGGCAATATTATACGGGGTAAAATGTTGGCCAGTAAAGAAAACTCATTTGCAGAAACATACCACTAAAATGAAAATGTTGAGGTGGTCTGGCGGAGTCACAAGACTAGACCGAGTCCGAAACGAGCATATCCGGGCTAGTTTCAAAGTTGCTCCCATATCTGAAAAACTTACAGAGAGCCGTCTGCGGTGGTATGGTCACGTAATGCGACGAGACGAGGAACATGTGGTCAGAAAGGCTTTATTGCTCCCTGAACATAAAAGAGGCATAGGGCGCCCTCCCGCCACCTGGTGGACCAGCATGACGAAGCTAATGACAGCTGAAAAATTACCCGAACCGACAACCATAGACAGAGAGTCTTGGCGCCTTAAATTTAGGAGAGCCGACCATGGGGTCGGGGTTTATATGGATAAAGTGGGAAGGAGCAAGGACGAAGAGAGATAATAATAACTTTATATCGATGCATTCAAAAGCGCGGGAAAAATCAAGTAGCACGAGAATGGATGCACAACCATTATTTGTATCGGAGACTCATAAAAAACAAGGTACATGGTAACAATCCCGTTAATATCTATAATATAAAATTATTTGTAGCGTTTAGGATTTCATCTACTATTTTAGTGAGGGTCGTTACAGTACCACGACCAACTCTGAACCCGGATTGATTCTCTGGTATTACCCCCATTCGATTAAAATATTTTGTGAGCTGCTCATTAATTATTTTTTTCAAAAGTTTTGAGAAAGCTGGTAATATGCTTATAGGACGCAAGTCTTTATAGTCACAAACCTGCACTATTTTTGGAATAGGTGTGACTAGAGAGGGCGCTACGCGCAACATAAACAGTTAGCTCCGTACTATTTATACTTTTAAAATTATATTTCTTTGAATATTAAAGAAAGTTTAAGTGCAAATTAAATGTAAGCCAGTAATAAGCCTACACAAGTGTTTTTAGTGATTCTGTGAGCCTTAAGTGTCTACAATAACAATTATAATTTTCCTAGTGCAGCACAAAATACCGTCAAGTGAAGCAAAAAAAATAAAAATTTATGATCTTTATTTTCGTGCACATAAAAACAAATCTGTGTGTATAGAA